ATTGAGATTTTACTCATTTTATTTTATAGCTACATGTACCCAGTATGTCTTCTCTAGATGTACTCTTTAAAGTAGACACAACACTTTTTATAAAAAAAGTACTGCATGCATTTACACAAGTACATGTACTATAGATAGAGACTCTTTAAAAAAAGGAAACAGATAAGAGTAGGATGGATCTAGCAGTTGAAAGGGCTATAAAGCTAGGATGCAACTACTGACAAATTCAAAGGGTGTAAAATTCAAAGTATTAAAGTCAAAGTATTCTTTATCATGAATGCATTGTGTCTACTATTAGCAGTGATCTACTGCTGTACTAATGTGATTGGAATATGTCATGATAATAATTCTCCTTTCTACAGTGACTCAAGTGTTACTGCTCCTATTGGTAATCATTGTACAGTGTATTGTATATGATTAACTTGTTATTGTATAGATTGTCCTGTTGCTAAAGATTGCAAGGCATGGTTTGATGCTGGTGCTACTAATAGTGGTGTATATCCTATCAAACCTGATGGAGACTCACCTTTTCAAGTATACAAAATGACTCCCAGTTTAATGCAACTATATTCCATTAACAGGTTTACTGTGATATGGAGACTGATGGTGGTGGATGGACTGTATTTCAGAGGAGACAAGATGGATCTGTTGACTTCCTTCGTGGCTGGTCTGAATATGAGAAAGGATTTGGTAACCTAACAGGAGAGCATTGGCTAGGACTAAGAAGCATTAATCGTCTCACTCCTCAAGGATCAAACTATTTAAGAGTTGATCTTGAAGACTTTGAAGGTAGGAAAGCTTACGCAAAATACAGCAGTTTTGAGATACTTGATTCATACACACAATATACTCTTGTCATTGGAAGCTATACAGGAAATGCTGGAGATTCATTGAGTTTTAATAACATGATGAAGTTCTCAACTAAAGATAGAGATAATGATGCTGATGGTGGTAGTTGTGCATCACGTCATCCTGGAGCATGGTGGTTTAAAAACTGCTACCGTGCACATCTCAATGCTCCTTATTCTCCTAGTAGTTCAGTGAGTACATGGCAAGGAATCATATGGAATACTTTCAAAGGCAATAGTTATTCCTTAAAGTTTACAGAGATGAAAGTTAGGCACCATAACTAACTTTGTGAAGAAGAAAATTTAACCTTAATGACTGAGGTCTAACACTACACATTATTAGTTGCTGCTTTGTTTCTAATTTTCTATTAAAATTCTAATAGTGACAATTATAATAGTAATACATGCATAAATTACTAAATCAACAGCATAAATTATTCAGAGTTTCAGACCTCACATTTGCAGGCACACTATGATGTCAGCATTGACACAATAATATTTATTAATACTAATTAATTATAAAAGCAGTCAAGCACCACCTTTTAGGAAATACAATCAGTACGCAATATTTAAAGAGAGTATGGCCTTACAGAAATTTTGATAGTTGAACCGGCTAAAGTATAGACAGTGTGAAGCCATTATTGTCCTTTGAAAATCACAATAGGCATATACCATGTGAATCATAAACCTTTGTCTACTGCTCCATGTGCACTGATTGATAGTATAGGAAAGAGCTCATCATGAATGGATTGTGTCTACTGTTAGCAGTGATCTACTGCTGTACTAATGTGATTGGAATATGTCATGATAATAATTCTCCTTTCTATAGTGACTCAAGTGTTACTGCTCCCATTGGTAATCATTTTAGAGTGTATTTTATATGATTAACTTGTTATTATATAGATTGTCCTATTTCTAAAGATTGCAAGGCATGGTTTGATGCTGGTGCTACTAAGAGTGGTGTATATCCTATCAAACCTGATGGAGACTCACCTTTTCAAGTATACAAAATGACTCCCAGTTTAATGAACTATATTCCATTAACAGGTTTACTGTGATATGGAGACTGATGGTGGTGGATGGACTATATTTCAGAGGAGGCAAGATGGGTCTGTTGATTTCTATCGTGGCTGGTCTGAATATGAGAAAGGGTTTGGTAACCTAACAGGAGAGCATTGGCTAGGATTAAGAAATATTCATCGTCTCACTCCTCAAGGATCAAACTATTTAAGAGTTGATCTTGGAGACTTTGAAGGCAGCAAAGCTTATGCTAAGTACAGCAGTTTTGAGATACTTGATTCATACACACAATATACTATTGTCGTTGGAAGCTATACAGGAACTGCTGGAGATTCATTGACCTACAGCAACATGATGAAGTTCTCAACTAAAGACAAAGACAATGACAAGGCTGTAGAAAACTGTGCAACTAGGTTCTCAGGAGCATGGTGGTTTAATAACTGCTTCTTATCACTTCTCAATGCTCCTTATTCACGTAGTAGTACTGTTCCAGCTACAAAAGGTGTGATGTGGTATGCTTTTAAAGGTACAACATATTCTCTAAAGTTTACAGAAATGAAAGTTAAACGTCACAGTTAGTTTACTAAGAAACACAAGCCACCATGCAGTCAAGAAGTTAGGTACATTTATAAAAGGACAAAAGATAGGAACAACTGCATGCAATTCATTAGTACTGTAAAGCTGGATAAAATATTGTTCATTTTGTTAATTTTCATAATAAATTGTGCAGTTAAAAATGGCCAATTTTAGTTCATTTATAAAACTGCCAACATCAGTTCCTTCCCATACACAACAGTATGCAGTATTATACTATCATTAAATGATAACTTCTATATAGGCAATACCCAATGCAAAATAAAAATTAACGCTAAAAATACCTTTTTTGGTTTCCTTTTTGGTTCAGTATGACAGACAGAGGGGACACAAGTGACCACACTCCTCCTTATGCACCATCCACACACAAAGGAACAAGCTGGACAATGTCAATTACAACAATGACGAGGAGCACGAAACAAATGAAGACACTTTGTGGAGCCGGAGCAAGATACGATTCTCTACAAAGAGGAGGCCTCCCTCATTGCCATTGAATACAAAGGTTGTGTCTCTTTGTCTTGCCACACCTACAACTGAGTGTAATTAAAACAAGGATAACTATCACCTAAAGGAAGACGAGAGAGTGTGAAGTTAATGAATGATTAAATTGATTATACTTGTACATTCCCTGCTACATAACATGTATTTATTCCAGTCAATGCTACTCATAGACTAAGCATGACCAGTGAAACTAAACTGATGCACGGGCCCGAATGTGGGTGTGTCCAGTTTCTATCTTTTAAAGGGTATTTTACTTAAAAAGTGCTTGCTAATTGCTTACATTCACGTGTACGCACTTGTTAGTACCTGGTGAGGCTTGTGGTTGGCTTTATCTAAACTTTAGGCAAGGAATTGTTTACATTGCAACTAATGAATCTTGAATCTCATTACAGAGCTTTGATGCCTGGGCCTAGGCCCTGCCACTGAGCATGACTGAAATGCAAAACAATAAATCATGCATAAAAATTAATGTACATGTAGAAAATCAGAATGAGCTCAAACTTTCTACATGACATAAGTACATGTACAAGCATTAGAAAAAATTATAAAAAGAAAAAATTCTCTCAGCCATTTTTGATAAAATTTGGCCAACAATTATCATTTTGTACTTTGTCAAAATTAATTTTAGAGTAGATGCAACTTTAAAAATTCAAAAAAAAATCCAATTTTGATTAGAATCAGCTCAAACTTTCTACACAACATAAGTACACTCATATGTACAAAAAAATTAAAGAAATAAAGAATTCTCTTCTAGCCCCTTGATAAAATTTGGCCAACAATCATGCATGGTATTTTGTCAAAATTAGTTTCAGAGTAACTTTTAAAATTTATAAAAATCCAATTTCAATCAGAATCAGCTCAACATTTCTACACAACATAAGTACAAGTATATGTATCAGAAACAAGCGTATTAGTGTAAAATAATTCCTAAGATTGTTTTCACCACTGTATGTTTATCGCTAACGTGTATTAGAGCTATTCCTATTATCATAATTATTGACTGTTATTACTTTAACCCAAATTTATATGTGTACATTTAGACATACATACATGCTAACACATAACACAAATATTCACTTAGAAACATTATTATT